GGAACACAAACACATTCACTTCCTTTACTAAAATCAGTGAGACTTCAGAATACCTTTGTGGGCTAGCCAAATGGTAAGTTTGTTAATATTTAAATAACATTTTGCTGGTTCTATTTTTAAAACAGAATTTACATGTTATTATACATTGAAGCCAGAACTTTATTTCAGGTAGCTGAAGATACTTTAGTCATGATGAGTAATTATGTCCTTTCATAAACTTTAATACTAAGGTACACAAAGGCTGTGTATTTTATAAGGCAGCCTTCTAATGCAGTAGAATTCGGCAAGAGTCTTCTAAGAGACTTATCATGTTACATTTATAATCATGCAGCATTTACCAGTTCTTGGGCTTTCTTGCATAGCGTTTACTTGACCTTAGGCTCAAATTCAGGCAGTATTTATTTAAAATCAGAAATGCAGTTAGTTGAGAGGCAGATGAAGTAGAAGCTTCAGTCACTTAGAACACTTCGCTTCTCAAAGAGACAAGCTTTCTAGCTACTGGCTTCCACTTTGGCTCAGATTCTAAATATACGGAAGGAAATATCCCTCACATCTCCCACTCCAACCCCAGCCTAGTGCTGTGCTGTGGGGATAGAAGGCAGCTGAAAGAAAATTCTTGTAACATATCTCTATTCTGTGCCTGTCCTTTCCTCTCCCAAGTGACTAGGATGAATGCCATGTTCCCAGAATGCAGCAAGTGCTATGGCAGAGAAGGCAGCTGAAAGAAAATTCTTGCAACATATCTATTCCGTGCCTGTCCTTTCCTTTCCCAAGTCACTGGGATGAATACCGTGTTCCCAGAATGCAGCAAGTGCTATGGCTGTATTCCGTCCCAGACTCTCCAAGGGACAAAAGGGAAAGGACAGAATGAATGTTAGTTTCCTTGCACAGCATCCTTGATCAGTGGATAGCTGGGCAACATCAGGTGACAGAGCGCATTCAAAGGCATGTCAACCAATTATAGGTTATTTTAAGAAATAGTGGTAGCCGTGGTGTTCAAAAAACATGGCAAATATGCAAAACTATCAGGAATGTAGAGATAAGCTCCCAGCAGTAGTTTAAAGATTACCACTGATGATTCACATGCGGGGCAAATATCCAAATACTATTAAATATTCAAATCTCACTAATTCACACACCAAACATGCAAGTTATCTACAACTAACACTGAGACGTGCCAATCTTCCCAACCCACGATATGACCACAGAATTTTAATCCTGTTGCTCAGTCCCACCTAGACGTGGCCACTGATCAAGTGTAACATACACTGGAGGATGTTTCAGCTGAAGATTAATTTACCGATTCAAGTATTTCTGTCATTTCAAACACTTAACTCCTTGTTACTCCAGCACAAGCTTCCAGGGACTAGAAGCCATTTCATACAACACATGTGATGAAGTGGATTCCAGCCTAAACCCTTTGATGGCATAAAAAGGAGCTGGAATTTTAAAGTATCACAGGATCCTGTTTTTGCTACCCCTCTGGAATTTATTAAAACCAGTTATTTAAATAGGGATTTTCTATTTGAGAAACCCATTGCATTACCCTTTCTAGACAATAAATCCTTAATGGCAGTTGTTTTGTTTGGTTCCAAAAGGCAAGGGTTTCCTTTGTTTTAAATGATAACCAAAACTCAGTTTAGAAGCCCAACACAATAATTATCCCAGTCCAACATCATTATTGCCAATCTGGACTGCACTGTTCCTCCAGCTTTGAGTACTAGCAGCAATCAATGTTAAATCATGTATTTGTTTTTAATAAAAATACACAAAATGCTCATTTCCAGTACTTAGTGGGTTGAAAAAGTTGATGTTCTGGATTATACAATATGCAGGTTATATCCATTCCAGTTCAATCAGTGTCCACAAAGGAGTTTCAGCAGTTCTTGCCGGCTTGTTCTTCTTCCAGGTCAGAAGCCTCCCTAGTCATTTTGCCCGCATCCATCCAAGTGCTTCTTTTATGTCAGCCACTCATTTCTTCTTTTTCCCTTTGCCTTTTTTGCCTCCCTCTCCTTGCTGTAGGTTTTGGTCACTGCCACCCATTTTTTGTGTCCTTGTTTTCAGTTTGGGAATTGTTTCTGCTGCATAAAGCATCACTGACTTGCCTAAAGGGGGAAAATAGAGTGTGGTGAACATTTACAACATATTGCATTTGTATCCCACCATCCTTCCAGCACAGAACTCAAGACAGTGTACACACCATTCCTGGGCCTCATCCACACATTCATTGGATACGATCTGCTTAACACAAGGAAATTAGCTGTCAGAGAAGGGGTAAGGGAAAAAACTTCCTTGCCAGTCCTAGTGCTGTCCTTACAAGGGCCAAAAATGCATGCTCAGTTCATAGGTTATATTATTATGACTAGTAATTACATAAGAACCTCGTGTTTTGTTGCAAATTATTTGCACATTTTCACTGCTAGGTCTCTAAAGCAGATTAACAGAAAGGCAAACACATGAAATATACACAACTGATACAGAGAAAATATGCTATGCAATATTGCACAGAATAGTAGGTTTTTTATAAATTGATAATTCACTGTACAGATGTTGTGTCCTTCTGTTCTTTAAATATATTAATTGCAAGAAGAATTATTAATACCCTTCTGCAATTTCAGCTTCCTACATTGCTTTACGTTGATTCTATTTACTAGTACTTGACCTGTAGCATAAAATACAGTAGCAAAAATATTTACACGTGTCCAGGGGTTCTAAGATTTGCACTGAGAGCATTTCTTGTGTTCTTTTTAAAATGAGCATTTCCATGCGTGCATAGCTGGTCTGAATTTTCATGGGACTTGTCTTTCACAGTACTAAGTGCCAGGTGGGGGCATAAACCAGACTGTCTTTTGTTCTGAAAACACAATCTCGCCCACTGCTTGCCAAGAAGAAAAAAGGATTGTGAACTAATATCCATTGTTTAAAGGGGCAGCCCTATCTAAGTTACATATCTATCCTGCTATTCCTCAGGGAAGCATATGTGGATCTATTTGGATCCTCCTAACAACCCTGTGAGGTAGCTTAGGCTGAGAGAGAATGACTGACCTAAGGTGAGCAGCATGAGTAAATGGGGATTTGAACTTGGCCCTACCTGGTCTGAATCCAACACCCTAATCACTAAGACGCACTACCACAGTTGTTCATGCAAAGTCCTCCAACCAAAAAAAGTTACTGAAACATGGGCACATGCTTTTCACAGAGGAGCAAAACGGCTTCCAAAGTTTCTAATCCACCACCATAGCTTTTTTCCTAATTGAACTGAAACATGCCTACTAAAAAATCCAACAAAATAAAGCTTTTCCCATAAAACCACCACTGTACTCACGTGTTGGAAACTGAGGAAAACAGGGACTGCCATCTTCTTCCTTTAGCTGAATCCGCACTCTACCCCTATATTGAGCATCACGGTTCCATTCTCTAGGATACATTTTGTTTTTCTAACATTTGGGAAAAGTTAGGATTTTTAAAGCAAACAGTAAGTTCAAAACCACAAACACAGGAAGTTTCTAATAAACATTTAAAGAATTTCACTAACTATTTTAGTAACCCATACTACAGACAGTAGGTAAAAAAGCAGTTTGTCTTCAGGTAGGTACCCACCACTCATAGCCAAGGTAAGATTGAGGCAAGAATTTTCCACCTTAAAGCTCGCTCTTTTAATGACTATGCTACAATACAACATTTCCCCCCCAATCTATGGCTCTTTGAGTGTTCTTACAGCTAAGAAGATATGCTTTGGATATATACTTCAGCATATGCATGTACTCTTAGGAAAGTACATTCTCACAACTTTCTACCTTTCAGTTCCAAAAGTTGTTAAATTACACAGGAAACGGGACTATTACCTCCAAAAGCACATTAAGTCCAACTGCTGCACAAATTACACAGGAAACAGGGGACTACTTATTACCTCCAAAAGCACATTAAGTCCAACTGCTGCACATACATCTTGGATTTCTGTAGATGTGGGATTTTCAACAGCCTAAAAGAATCAGACATTTTAAGTTACTACATTTTTGTAGTACACAGAGACTTATACATCAGCTGTATTTGTACTTTCTGCTATGGAGTGGACTGAAAACAGTTCTGGAAAAGAGCAATACACTCTTTTGCCACTACACTCACCCCCACTGATGAGCCAGCAGAAGAGAAAAAAGTCACCACCTTGTGTGTTGAATGCACTGAACCTGGGCTGACCCGGGGCCATCAGACACCTCTCCTAGCCACAACCCTCCTGGGCTAGCACACGGTGAAGCCAGGTGCTGCCACACTCCTGCTCCTTCTCGCTGGTCACACAGCACCTGGACCAGTGCGACCAAACTAGGTACCACTGTCCTGCTCCTCCTCACCATCCCCACTGCACAGGCTCAGGGCAGCAGTCCACCAGGATGTTCCCTAGTTGAGTAAATGGCCAGTCTGCCCCTGCTTGCCATTGTACTGTCCACAACAATTAAAGATCTCACACGTCTCACACATGATTCAGGGGCAGGAAGTGACAAAGTATTGACAAAACACACTGGCAAAGCACTGATTCTTACAGTTAAATTAAATTCAGATGTTAAAAAGCAAAACAGCCAGAAGTTAGACAACTTAATTGCTAAAACTAGCAGTACTGATATGGGTTGCTGCTAAACACACAACTTTCTGCAACATTATGAGGTACAACTAAACGTTTTGATTGCCCCCACTAATATAAAAAGTGCTTATTTGCTCAATGAGTGATTAAGTTTTAGAATTCCCTTGTTGTAGGATATAGTGATTGCCACTAACTCAGATGGCTTTTAAAATAATGGTTAGAAGCATTAGTAGCTATTAGCCATGATGATTAAATGGAACCACATGTTTAGAGGAAGTTCAAGGAGTAACAACATCTGACTTCTATGCCAAACACAATGCTGGACCCTCCGCTGATTCAGCAGAGCTGCTCTTACAGTCCTAAGAGGTTTTCCTTCATGAACACACTCAAAAATTTACTGCACAGCTCATAAACACTATTTAACTGTCAGGTATACACTTTGAGTCTATATAGAAAACTGGTGCATATTTGAAACAAATGTTTTCCCCCACCATCATGGATCTAAAAATATAATGGTAGGAACGGGTATTCAGCACTGATGACACACATTTTCACAGTAAATGAAACAGATGACATTTCTTCAATTCACAAAGTTTTGGAAAATAAGATATTCAGCTCCTTCAGTATCTCTTTCAAGTTAATTTTAATTTTCAGTAAAGGCTACTTTGCCTGCCCCACAGCCCAGAATTACTTTGTCAATAGGTATTCTTCTTCCTTCTGCTATTGTCTTCTTGTTATTTATGTAGGCTGGGTAGATACAAATGAACCTAAATAAAGAACAGAGAAAGTTGCAAGCTGTTACATGACATACATGGAAAGATATTCAGTATTCCTAATTACAAAAGTAGAGCTGAAACACAGCAAACTGAACTGGCTGAGGCAGACAGCTACAACTACCAAAAATAGGCCCCGGTCACACGGCAAAATTGCCGCGGGAGAGGCACAGGAGTCCTGCGGATTTTCCGGGCACGATCACACCCCAACATCTGGGAAGCACAGTGCTCCCGTGGCGAACACGTGGCTCCCCGCCGAAGGTGCGGAGTTAAAAACTAGTACCTACGAGGTACTAGTTTCCGGAAACCGCGGGGCAAGGGCGGGCATCTGATCACATTTCCAGTGGACTGTGGTGGCATCCGGCAGCTGCCGATGTTGCGTCGCGACCAAGGGGATTTCCCCCCCCAAGTCTCCGCAGGATGCCGAAAAGCACCCAACGGTGCATGTACACCAACAGGAAGCGGTGTTTGCCACGGGAGCAGCGCGGCGTGAGTGCCGGTTTGAACACGCCGTGCTGCTTCTTTGCCGTGCTGTCTGATCTGCACCTGACGCCTACCCACGGGACCTCAAAAGGACTTCTGATCGGGCTGCCGCACATTAATTAGCCACCACCCCCCCCATACCCAGCCCGTGTTGCCCAGGCCATAGATAAAAGAACTTATCTCCTTAATTACAAGTAAATAGTGATGATGGGGCTACAGTATTTGTTCCTACCAACATTTATTTAACACATATTTAATACACACTTAGCGTTTTATCACTCAAAATTTGCAACACGACTATGCCTTAATCCTCCAACAACTCTAAAATCAGTATTATCATCCCGTATTGCATAGAAAGACCAAAATAAAATAAAAGGGAGATGAGGAGAAAGAAAAGGAACAGAAAAGAAACAAGAGAGAGAGATGCTTCAGAGCATGACATTTGCAATTTGAAAAAGTTAAAAGGGACGGATTGCAGAGTTAGGCGGTGCTGAATGCAAAACAGTTTTCAAGATGCACCGAGACAGCTGGAACAAAAGTAATAAGTAAGTTTAGTAACAGCTACTCTGCCTTTGAAGCAATAAAAGTCCGAAGCTATTCGGATGCCTCCCGAGCACGGGTCCATTACAATGTACGGAACAGAAGAAACTAGCGGCAAGATTCAAGCGTTTGCACGCAGACTCCCCAGTAAAAGTCTTACAAGGAACAGCTCCTGGGAGTGGCAGAAAAGCAAGCGCGAGAAACGAAGCCCTCGACAGCTCACAGAACTACCCCCTCCCCCCACGTTACCGAGACTTGTCGGTGGGCAACGAGGGCACAGCCCAGGCCATCGCCTCAGCGCCACCACACTCCCGTCCCTCTGAGTCCAGCGCAACTAAAAAGGCTGTCCGGGAGACCGGGGAACACAATCGGAAATCCCGCCCACGCACCGTCGACGTTGCCTTATGCCAATGGGTCATATAAATGTCATTCAAAAGGAAAGTGGTTCTTCCCCACCCGACCGGAAGCTGACGGTAAAAATTATGGTTCAGATATCGCGAGAGATTAAGAGTTCACTGAGAAAAGATCTTGGTTTCTGTAGGCGAAGAGTGTACTCTTCGTTTGCGCATGCGTTGTAGGTGTGCTGACGAGTGGCTCTGTGTACGCCGGGATTGCTTACGGCAGGTGGGGGATGAGACAATACTTAAGGATCTAATAAACCCACAATTGTTGGAAAAGCTTTAGTGACCCGCATGTTAAAGTCACACAAATACATTCCTTTGTTGTTGTTTTTTAGTTTTCAGGCAGTGGTAAATTAGTCATATATACTTTACCTGCAAGAATGCCGATAAGCTGCCGCCCTGTGCCCTCCTGCAGTAGGACTCGAGAGGAAGAGCATCGTGGTACTTGACTTCACCCTGTGCTGGCCTGGGCTAGGGTTGCCAGCCTCCAGGTGGTAACTGGAGATCTGGGATTACAACTGATTTCCAGGCAACAGAGATCAGTTTACCTGGAGAAGATGCTGCTTGCCCTTTGGGAGGACTCCAGGCCCCTAGCTATGGTGGGGCACACAAAAAGCTGCTGCCCCTCTCCCTCCTCCTGTGACATTTAAAGGGCCCTCCGGCTGATCAGTGGGAGCACATAGACAGCAGATCAGATGGAGGGCCCTTTAAATTTGGCAGTTGCCCCTCTCTCTCCTCCCTCACCTGCTGACCCACAAAATTTCCCCATACCCCACCAACCCAAAATTTATGGCTATGGGGCTGGAGGACTCTATGGTATTATACCCCCATTGAAGTCCATTCCCTCCCCAAATCCTGCCTTCCTTACCCTCTAGTCCCAAAAGCTCCAGGAGCTGGCAACCCTTGCCTGGGCAGTGTTGATGGTGAAGATAATCATGCCTGACCCTCTAGTCCCAAAAGCCCCAGGAGCTGGCAACCCTTGCCTGGGCAGAGTGTTGATGGTGAAGATAATCATGCCTGCTATTTTTCCTTGCAGATCCCACTCTGCATATGCTGGCAAGTAGGTGCACATGTACAGCACAGTGTGATTGAGTGTGTCAGTAGCCCAAAGCCACCCAGCAAGATTCTGTGGCAGAGTGGGGATCCAAACCTGGATCTTTTAGTTATTGGTCTGACCCTTGAACTCCTGCACCACACCAGCTGTTATGCAATAGGAATAGAAAGGACGGCAGACCTAAACAGACTTGCTGTGCAGGAATCACCGCTTTAATGCAACAAGGGCCCCAGTCACACGGGCTGGATATCACGGGGGGAGGCATGGCTAATTGCCCCGGCTCAGTTTGATTACGCGATCAGACGCGCCAGCGGCACATCACGGGTCCTTCCCTTGGCGCCAGTGGGTAAACAAGGGTGGCGATCACACGATCCTGCAGCGCAGCAAAGAAGCAGCGCGATCACACCAGCAATGGCTAGGCGCCGCTGCCATGACAAACGGGGTCATTTATTTTTAAGCTGAAACTGCACTTTCACTTTTCTCTTTGTGCGCATGCGCCGTTGGGTGCTTGTGCGCATCTTGTGGAGACTTGGGGGGGGGAACCTGTTTGCGAAGGGACATGGGCGGGTGCCGGATGCCACCACCGGAAACGTGATCAGACGCCAGCCCTTGCCCCGCGGTTTCCGGAAACTAGTACCTCAGAGGTACTAGTTTTTAACTCCACTTCTTTGGCGGGAAGCCTCAGGTTCGCCACGGGAGCTCTACGCTTCCCAGATGTTGCGGTGTGATCGCGCCCGGAAAATCCGCCTATCTTCCGTCTCTGTAGCGTGGCTAATGCTCCGTGTGACCGCATCCAAGCGCTGTGGTAGAAACTTACTGTGATCAAGAAGCATGGGACTATGGTAAACATTGTCACAATGGATATCAAATTACTTCATTTCTGGGATTTTAAAGTGTGAAATTGGGATGGGTTCATAAGGTACTGAAAATGCACCCAGACCGCTTTAAACAGAAGGCTGATTTTGTAATATCTTCACTGTTAACTTTGTTTTGTCTATTAAGATGTTTCCACAGAAAGGTCTAAAGAAAGCAAGGGTGTGTCTATAAATCACACCAAGCCATCTTACTGAGAGATACTCAGGATTTTCTTTTCAGAGGTAAGTGAACCAAATTTACAGGAGAGTTTTGTGTGTAACTTTCACACTGTGCTGCATGCTACTGTTGTCCTCAAGTGTGAATGGAACTGCCATGAAGGAGTGTGTAAACTGTGGTTGCTATTTTGAGATAGTGAAAAGTATCCTGAGACTGCAGGAAATGGTTTGTGTCCTAGTGTTTAACATTGCTGCAGCACATTCTGTTTTATGTCAAGAGTCTGCAGTGGTGATATAAATTTAAATTTACAAGATGGGTACAGAACACAGTAAGCTTTGCTGGCAGAAGAATTAACCTGATTACCCTTCCTTGCCATAGCGTGCACAGGCACACACCCTGCCTCATGCCATGAATACTTGAAGCTGCCTTATACTGAATCAGACTGTTATGTATTGATCCAGGACAGCACTGGAAATAGTCTGAGCATGAGTTACCTGAACAATGGGCTGCCATGATCCTGGGATGGACCTATTGATTTAGGGTTCTTTTTGTTGATTACCTGTTGGCACTTTTTCAGTCCTACAGAAGGGAAAGGCAGGATAGAAACTTTTAATAATACAAAAATACATGGTTTCTGGTACAAACTGCATTTATCATTTTATACCTGCAGGTGTATTCAATACTTATGTAATTTTAAAATAAAATCTATTACTTAAATGCTATCACTGATGTCCTTATTCCTGCACCAACAATGATACTTATGGACACAGATCTTTCCTGTCATTCCCACCCCAGTAACTCCAAGACCTCTGAAAAGCTGGTGCCAAGGATTGTGGGAGCCTCATGGACAAAGGGGAGGGGCTGTGGCTCAGTGGTAGAGCATCTGCTTGATATGCAGAAGGTCCCAGGTTAAATCCCCAGCATCTCCAATAAGGATCCTATTGTCGATGATATGAAAGACCTCAGCCTGAGACCCTGGAGAGCCACTGCCAGTGTGAGCGGACAGTACCAACTTTGATGGACCAATGGTCTGTATAATATACTGGGTTCAAGACGCATTTAGTGATCAGCTCATATTTATTTAGTGATTTCAGTTAACTCAAAGACAAACTCTGCGGGGCCAAGCCCTTCTTATATTCGTGCAAAACAACACCCCCCCACACACATACACACTCCCCGTGATTGGCTATTTACAATGTAACCTTGTAAGGAGATAGGCGGGTGGGTGGTGAAGGCAGATGATGTGAGTCAAAGGCTCTGCTTGGGAGCTTTAGGGGTCTTAGCCCTAGAGTGGGTGGTGGATGAAAACTTAGGTTTGTGCCCATAAGGGCGAGAAGACTCAGTGGGTGACTGTTGCCATTGCATCTCCAGAGAGGACTTAAGAGAGGATCTGTGGGACCATGACTTGTTCCAGAGTTTGGTTTTGTTTAGTTTAGGAGCTGACGTGACTCCTAAATTACAAGATGTCTTAATGCTTTTGTCTAGATCTTGCAAGACAGTATCAGTCGTGGAACTGAAAAGTCCCTCACCCTCGAATGGAAGATCTTCAGTGAGAGTTTTAGTATCTTGTGACAAGGTTGTGGAATGCAACCAGGCATGATGCCTGAGGGTAACTGCCAAAGTCAATGTTTTGGCTGCCACATCCAGCGTGTGCTTAGCTGCATTGAGCTGATGCTTTGCCAAGAGCATGCCCTTCTTTTGAATTCTGCGAGCTTGATGGTTAAAGTCCTCAGGAAGGGCTGCAATAAATTCAGATATTTGCTCCCAGAGGGCAAACTGATATCTCCCCATACATGCAGTATAGTTCGAAGTCTTGATGCCAAGTGCTCCAGCTGAATAAAAGTTTCTTCCAAACGGGTCTAGTTTCCTTCCTTCTTTCTTGGGGTGTGTGGAATGACTGCGTTTGCCTTTGGAAGAGGAAGTGACTACCACCGAGTTAGGCTTGGGGTGGGTAAATAAAAATTCAGCGCCCGGCTCTTGCACCTTATACATGTCATCTACTCTATGGCTAGAGACAGGGGTAGAAGCCGGGTGAGACCATGGAACCTTGGCCGCCTGTAACAAGACCGAAGTCATCAGTAAGGCTATCGTGTTGAGGTGTCCATCTGCACGATATCAAACACAGAGTGTCAGGTAGCCCTGTCATAGATCTGGAATGTTGAGGGGTGCACCTCCTCCTCATTCTCAGCTCATCCCTGTCCAGTTTCTGTGTGCTATCTCTTGCTTGACCTTGTTGTTGTTCCCAGCTGCAATTAACTCGGCTGGGAAAGCTAACGGTTTTTGCGCTGTGCTTGCTTGCTTCAGCCCACGCGCTTGCTTGCTTCAGCTCATGGGGAGACATGGTTGAGGGGCCATTATACGCTAGGCTATTCCTGACAAAAGCTGTATACGTGATCATTAGTAATGGATCCATCAATAAGCACTTATCTTCTTATGAAGCCCTGTGTGACCTGACTAACGACCCTGACATGGAGTCTGTTACTGTAGGTGGAGGTTGCACAGTAGACAGGGTCAGCGTGTTGGCCATCCGCTTAATGAAATCCCCATAGGATTTGAGATCCTCCGACTGAGAAATTGGGAGATCATCGCCCACTTGCTGAGGAGGTGAGGGCTCCATCAGGGGGTTGGGGTTCTCGTCCCCTGAGTGGGAGGAGGTATTGGAAGAACCGGAATGCTCAGATGGCTCGGAAAAAGAAATAGGCAGCATCGGTGTCAACAGGATTAGTTCCGATGGATCATTAAGCCTGGGGGCTATCGGAGGCGGTGGTTTGGTTGTCCTGTCGGTTTCGACGGCTGGGGTTTCACAAACTCCAGTGTCAGAAGAAGATCTCGATACCGCGAAAGTTGGGAGGAAGTGGATTGACGATCCCATTC